CATTCTGAAATCAGAATTGATTTTGTTGCAAAGACTCAGTCGTTGCCACAAGAAGAAGCGGAAGAAAAATATGATGTTCGCCAAATACCAACGTCCATCATCCATCCTTGAATTACAGAAGAACTGTTCTAAAAAACACTGTAAAACCCGGATGGGTGGAACCTGATTTAAACTATATTTTATGATTGGATAAATTAAATGTTTTACCAATATAAAGTATTTAAAATTAACCAATCATGATCCATCTAACTAACAACCCACTTATTTGTAAGTGCTGAAGTTACTTGTAATTTCAGCACCAGAGAGATTTGAATTTAACTTAGAAATTAGTTGGACTCTCCCGAGCACTTCAGCAGCCGCAATAAACCAGTATACCCTAGATCTATTGAGCCTAGCAGAGACTAGTTAAACAACCTGAGACTAGATAGTATAAGAGTAAGATTAGGATCGGTATTAGACTAAGAAGTTGCACGAATCTATCCGGCCGAAAATAAGATAGCGTGACGAGCAGACGGTGTACCCTATCCGAAATTACTCTATGAGTTACACTACGGTCCTAACTCAATGCGACGGTGGTATCTTTCTGTCGCTTTTCTAGAAAGAAGCGATCAAAATTCACAAACAAGATAAGGAACTTTTTGACAGATTACGGTTATCCAAAATTCTTGCTAGGAGCTTTGCGATACATCGCCTCTTGCGATACATCTCCAGCATTGCATATCAAGCTAGCCTAGTAGCCTACAGAAGCTAGCAATTTATTCAAGAAAAGTGTACAAGAAATGTCAAAATCTAGATCTACCAAAGTTTTTAAGTATTTCTTTCGAATGGAGTTCAATTTGAAAATTAAATGTTCAAAAGACTATTGCCCGAGTCAAAATAGCTTCTAAAAATTGTGAAGAGGTGACCAATTTGGCTATACTTAAGCAGACTCCCAAGCGAATTTTTCAATCCCCCAAAGCACACACACATAGGAAAGTTTTTCGATTTTCACATACGCAAAGTGACGTGATTGAGCCGATTCGAAAACAGACAACAGGCAGTTAAAAAAGAGTCGAGGAACGAAATATATATAAGCCGCAAAGCTCTTTAAATTTCAAAAGCAATAAACAAATGACCTTTTTTTGAAAAAATCAACCCAGTTTGACCAAACTGGATATACAAAAAAAATTGACCGCTGCAAAATCTGAAAATTAAAAAATTAAATTCCCTTTTCGAAACTAGATATTGATGTTTTTTTTTGCGCCGTTTCAGCTTCCATATGTGGAGGGTGCATTGTGCGTACCTTCTAGCAAACAAAAATTTGAATAGAATGAAGTGCACATATACCTAAAGGCATTTATTTGTGTATTTATAAGCAAGACTGCACTTCGTTTGCTATTAGTGAGCTTTAAAATTTTGCGTGAAAAAAAAAAGAAAGTCATCAGCTTTATGTAAGATTCTGAACTTTATTCATCGACTCTGATGAATTTTGCCCCAAAAACTTTTTCAGACTTGAAAACAAAAGTTAATTGAACTATTGTTGTTGATATTAATACGTTTATTTGTTGACTACGTCCATCTCAACTCGACACACATGAAGCAAAAAACGTGAAATTTATGAAGTTATTTGATTTTATATTGCAAGAAAAAATTGTTCAAAAACAAACTTTAAAATTTAAATACTACCAACTAAAACAATTTTCAACATTTGAGTTAGACAGAATCAAGGAGAATTCAATTTTTGATATTCTTATCCTCTCGAAAAGAACGATTTCTAATTTAATTGGGAACGATTTCTAATTCGCAGCTAATGAATTATTAGCGCCAAGAATATCGCGCTTTAATTGTCACTAAATGGCTATATTGATAGTCTTTAAACTCCCATTACTTTACAAAAGCCGGTCATAGGAAGAATATCTTTTTAAATTTGAGCTGAAGACATCAAAGTTTTTTGGGTGCTATAAAAAATCAGTCAAAAACGAATAGTATAAAAAGTTGAAGTTTGTGTGGAAAAAAAACGCACCGAGCAAAAATTTTCCGTCGCTTTCTTTCAAAACCGAATTAAAAGCTATTTTACAGTTGTATCAAGACATTAAGACATATTGTTTGTAGTCCGAAATTTCCTCGAATAATTTACTATGCTAATTTTTTTGTAGGCAAATTTTCTAAGCATAGTAATTTTGAGCCCGGACAACAATTCTCAAAAAAATTATACAAGCTTATAGAAAGGCTTTGAACAAGTAGGCGATAAGAAAACGACGAAATGAATGAGAAAACTCGTACTCAACTTTTTTAAACTGCTCTAAAAATGAAATTTCAAGAATTGAAACCAAGACCATATTTTGGCAATTTTATAGCAGCGTGAGAGCCCCCCCCCCCCAACAACAAAACATCATAACAACAAGCATTTCGTGAATTAGATATCAAAAAAAATGGGCTGAAACTATTAGGCGGCTCCAACTATTTAGGCGGCCCTAAATTATTGCCAAAATGTTTTTAAAAAATGACCAAATTGCTCAATTTGTGTGTAATTTATTTTTTTCCTTTGTGACAGTGACAATTTTAATGCTTGTTTAAAAAATACATCAATTTAAGTCTTGTTTTTTTTTTTTGCTCGTAGAATTTTTTGTGATATATCATTTGCTCAGTGCACCCCTACATCCCTAGAAACGCCTTTTTTCAAAATTTGCCTGCGGCGCAGAAAATGTCGTCAAAATAAGGTCTGTGTATTATTTTGGAAAGCTCAGAAAATCTATTTGGTTGACCTAAAACAAGATCGACAAAAAGATAGAAAAAAATTGCCCCAACCACACGATAAAATCTCAGATCTTCATTTGGTCTCATCTAAACGGTTTTGGTTTGGTAAATTATAGCTGATGACTGGTGTAATTAATTAGCTTCTTCCCTCGTCTTCCAGAATTTCTAGTGTAACGAATATGATATCATCAGTCGTGTACGCATGATTTTTTCAAGGGGCGGAATTCTAAGAAAAAAAATAGATGCACGTAAAGCACTTTGAATTTCAAGAACAACTTACGATTGACACTTTTTTGATTAATTTAGTAAACTTGAGAAAACTGGATCTATAGACAAGTTTTTATTTCGCAGGGAAATCAACGACTTAAAATCTACTTTCGAAACTAAAGTTATTTGCGAAAGCGTAGTGTTTCTTAATTACGATGTCTTGAAAGCTCAATTATTCTTCACGTAACCAATTTTTTACATCACCAGCTAAACTGATACTAACGAAATCGCTAAGAAACTGGCGAGAACAGGACAAAAAAGCAACTCTAGGAGATGCGTGCACTGAAAAATGTGATGTAAGACTCGAATTGATAAAAATTCGGCTACGTTTCGGATTCGAGCTACGAGCTAGAGATTGCGGGTCCCAAGCAATAATCACTCAGCTACAAATGCTTAATAAATCACAAACACTAGCCACAGATAAAGCAGAGAACAGATAATATGAAATTTCCATGCTACAAATTTTGATTATACCAAAAGTGTCACCAAATACGTAAGCACTTTAAATGAACTTTTATTTGCGAATTAGTCACTTTTCAAATTCAACTGTTTCCAATTTTTTGACAGAAATTGGTCTATTTTTTAGAAAGTTTTCTATTACCAAAACATTTAAACTTATTCGAGTAATTTATCATGGCTTAAGCTAAGCATAAATGAACTATTGTAAGCCTGCTCGCTAGCTTCATTAGCTCGAATTTACAATAACTTTTTTAAAAAATTTAACCTGGTTTTCTCGGTAATGAAACATCTTTTTGAAAAACTTTTGAATATCATTCGAATCACGACTGAAAGGGATATAATATGAAGTATCATTTGACTCATTCTGATGATTTTTTCTGCTACCTGATCTTGTGTGGAAAAATAAAAAAAAATAAAAAAAACACTCCTGAATAGAAGGTTCATCCCTTTTTTCAATGGTCGGAACGAAAATAAGTATAGCTGGTTACTGTGCAACTAGCACAGAAAATTCAGACCGAGGTTATTAAAATGGTTTTTTAAATTGGTGTAACTTTTTCTGCCTGGTGTCAAAAGATCTGATCGAACAACTAGTACTCGAAGATATGTTCGAAAGTCATAATAGAACAGGCTAAAAGGACTACGTTTTTTGAAGAAAATTGATTAGAAAAAAAAACAATCAAAAAAGTTTCTTAGTTTTTGAACTGTTTTTGCAAAAATTTTTGAACATTTGAAGAATTTTGATTCCCAAATTGGCACAAAACACTGAAATTTAATTTCACTCGAGTAAAACATCGTTTGAACGGCTTAAACTAAGCAGAGTAAAAATCAAAAAGTTCAAATGTCTTTCTCATTGTTGTAACATTTTGAAAAAGTCCGGAGATTTTTCGAATCTCGACTAAAAGAATTGAATATGATATATCACTCGAATCATTTCGATGATTTTCTGTGGTACCTGATTTTGCGAGGAAAACAAAAAAGAATACTAAAACAACCGACGTTATTTGGTCTATTTTGCTCTTTGATATTAGCGAAACATCTTATTTTGTAATTAACCTAGTGGTGTATAAATATTTTTAAAAATCTCAATAGGATTTTTAATTTCATCCATTTTTTAAAGCGAACACTATACTTCAAATAGCTTAAAATGAAATCGGAACATTCAGGTTTTCGCTCTGATACGAGCAGTCTCGTTGGAAATTACAATGAGGCTGTTAATTGCCACTAAATTTCGTAATTAGAAAAAATTAAAACCATTTCTTGATTTTTGCTAGCTCTCCTTGGTTAAATGTTTTGTAAATGAATTAAGGTTGTGATAAGAAATTAGGCGTGGAGAAAGAGGTTTTAAGCAAAGAACTAGCATGAATAACCCAAAAAACTTTTCGCAGATACCTATTTTCAGCGAGACCATTCTCTCGAAAGGTATAACTGGTCATTCTGCGCTGAACAGAATAGTTCCTACAATAATCTACTATTTTGAAACATCTCACTTACCTGTTGAAGCCACCTTTAGTACTTACATGTCCACCTTTAGTACTTACATGTTGCCATAGTTCGAGGAAGCTTTAACGATCGACCATCTTTCGGCACGCTTCCAGTAGTTGTCATCTCTGGTTTGATGATCACACAATTCAGAGCAGAATTAATATTTTTCAGACTACCATTAGCCTTGTAAATTCAATTAAATTCAGCAAAATATTGAGTTCAAGAAAAAACTTAACTGTATTTCTTAAAATGACAAATCCTAGTCTCAAAATGATGCTTCTATGTCATAAGACAGCTATGATCAAATAAAAAAAGATCAGAAAAACAAGAGAACAAAACCTGTGTTCTAAAATTTGGTTGACTGGTTTTAAAAAAAGCATAGAATAACACCTGCCGAAGATTCAGCCATTCGTTGCTTTTTGGTATACAGCTCATCCATTATTCACTTCGGGAAACGTGGCAAAACCAGGTATTTTTTTCCTTATGGTCGCTGAGGAAAACAGCTTCTAATGAAAATTATATTCTAAAGCTCCATAAATAAATGTTTCATATTTGTTGCATTGCTAAAATTAAAGTAAAGTTAATAAAGCGCATATGATTTGCCATCTCACTTCATTTTCAATTCAACAACGTTTAGGTCAATTTTTTAAGCCATTGAAAAAATTCTGAACCTCGTAAATTGACCGGCCTTCCAAATTGAATAGCAACTCAATTAATTCGCACTTTGCAGCTACAGAACTAAATTCAGATGAACAAGATTTCAGATAACAAGTTCAGTTTTTGCACCCGGTTCCAGAATTAGGTCTGAACGGTTACTTTCTTGATATTTGCAAGAGACTGCCTTTTCACAGCTTCTCTTTGATGAATCGTCTCTACCACATTTAGACACTCATCCAGAGCAATTTGAATATCTTTGACATGTCGCGTTTGTAGCGCCAAGAGCGCATCGCCGAAGTTAGTCGAGAACCACACATAGTCAATTATTTTAACCATTATAGCACACATTTGAATGAACGCTACTTTTCCTTTGCATGACTCAACAGAGTAAAAGTGTTTAAATATGAACTCTTTCACGTGTGAAATCATGTCATGATCTTTTCTTTGCAATCCGACCTTTAGAATTTTGGCCATCAGAAAAAATGCGCCTTTTCTGACTTCTGATATGCGATCAATTGCGTAATACTTTGCCATTGGCCAAATATATTTGTCGATATCTTTGGAAGACAAATATTCAATCATTTTAGCTAATTGCTGTGTCATGTACAGCCTATATCTCCAGCAATTCTCGTTTTCGCATTCGGCGAACTCGGCTAAGTTTCGCAACTGGCGAGTAGATTCTTCTGCTCCCAGGCAAAAAAGGAAGTTTGCAAGATTTTTCACCATCACCAATCGCACTTCGTCGACATCGTTGAAACAGGACTCGAATGTCGAAAGCAATTCGTCTTCAGCCTGTACAGGTCCCAGTATTTTTGCTATTTCGTGCAAAGAAGCCGCTATTTTCTGCCGAACTTTCCAGTCTATGTCATTCCTGAATAAAAAATTTTGTGAATTTAATTTTTTAATAGCAAAATAAACAGAGGCGAAGCTGAGCTTCGCACCACTTGCGATAGAACGTAAAAAAAAACTAGATCTATCATAATGAATAAAGCTAGTTTTGAAAGAAAACCATGCCGAGACAGTAAATGTGAAATCAGCATTGGAAGATAATTTACCAAGCGGTAACAAATACCTTCGCAGAAACGTTTCAGGCCGAAAAAAAATCAACAAGTTTTAAGACTTATGAAAAGTCCATGTCGCCCTCAAAACACTCAAAAAACATTAATTGATCGTCAAATGAAACAATCTGAGACAACTAAGCCGCGATAATATCCTAAGAAGCCCAAAAAACGAAAAAAAAAATAAAAAAGGTTAAGACGTTATTAAGCTCCCCTCGCCCTCAAAACACAGACACAAACTTTTTTCACCCGTCGAAGGACACAAAATGAGGCCGCTAAGCCGATATAATATAGGCCGAAACCTATCAGGCCGAAAAAAAGGCGATAAAAAAATTATTGTCATGAAAAATTTGAATTATAATTTCTATTAAGATGTTTAGCATTTTTTTCAATCGACAGATGAGTATTTTAAAAGTGTTTCCATTGAAACAACTCGAAAGTACGTCACTAGGCCGATAAAATACAGGCTGAAATCATTTGGGCAGAAAATTTTTTTTCATTAAAAAAACGAAAAAAGAAATACATATAATGTCAAGGTTAAAAAATTACAAAGAAACAGCAGAAGAAAATCAGAACACTAAAAGCAACTATATTATTTTAAAAAACCAAAAGTCAAATAAGCGATTTAGTAGGATGATAAAAACAAAGCGGAAGCTAAGCCAACAAAAAGCCCAAATCGACGAAGTCGAAAATACAAAAAAAAATACCCAAGAAAGTATAACATTTGAACTGCGAAAATATTGGAATAACACTAATAAGGATGCACAGTTTGAGTAATAGACCAATGAGCAAATATACGACGCACATACTGTATGCATGTCGTCTACTGCATGCATTGCATGCTGAAATCTGTGGACAAAGTTAATTACGGGAAAAAAATCTAGTGCCCGATTGCAATACTCTTGCTATCGCAAGGGTAAACAAGCTGTGAGTCAAAGGTTGGACGAAAACACTAAGTGAGGCCCTGTGTTTAACGATACTTAAATCGAGTTCGTACAAACTGACTAAGGTTGGCTGTATTTGTTCCGAACATTTGAAAAATGGGGAGGAACTTTGAATTCGGATGTTTTAGTTTTTTTCCACGCAAAATCAGCTACCACAAATAATCATCGGAGAGAGTTGAAAGATATTTTATATTAAAACCGTCAGTCGAGATTCGAATGACATTTTAAAATTTCCAGTGTCGAGAAAAACCGGTTTAAAATTTTTTGTTTTTCGTCTTAATTAGAGCAAAAAGAGCGAGCGAACAGGCTTACAATAGCTTATTTTAATGGCCTAAAAGCGTACAATAGCTCAAAATAAAACGTAAAAAGTTAATTTTCCTCGAGTAACGTTAGTTTTTTTGAGTATTGTAGCGCCTTTTCGATTTTTTTTTCTAGTCATTTGTCTAAAATACTTATTTTCCAATTTTCGTATTTTGCTAAGACTGTCGAATATTTCTAAGCTCGAAAAAAAAAATTCGTCGTGTTTTTTCAAGACTACGGTCGGAACCGGCTATCCTTGCTTTTCTTAGGCTTTTTTGGAAATTTCTTTTTGAAATACAACTGACTACTAAATGGGCTGTAATATGATACGACACTAGAAACCGTATACGAGCTTTCTTTAAGGTACCTAAAATTGCAAAACATAGTCAACAGACAGTTGGAAAAAAGTCAATGAACGCAAGTAAACAAAAAATACTGACTTGTTTTTTTTTTATAAAATCTCAATTTTCAAATTTCAAAGAAAGAATAGATGCCCTTGAAGCTCTTTGACTTTCTAGAACAATTTAGGATAGTACTTTTTAATAGAATATTCCCAATTTGAGAAAACTGGATCAATAAGTAAACTTTTCATTTCGCTGGGAAATCTCATATTAAATTCCACTTTGAACCTAGAAGTTGATCACGTTTTTCTTGACCTTCACACTTTTGCTATTTGGAATTTGATAGTGAAGTTTGCCTTCCTTTAACATGAACCTAAAAAGAAATCAAAAGTCAAACCGCGAAAAATTAAATTTGAGCCTGAACAAACTTGAACTTTTCCTGAAAAAAAAAAAACATAATCGCGACCAATATAAGCGTCTGAACTACGTTCGTCGTCTCTTAAAAACAACGCCATATGCCATAGTCCCTTCCTAATTGCTGAGAGTTCTATACTATAGATATATTAACTTAGAAACAAAAAAATTCTCTGCTTCTAGGAGTCTTAATAGATTTTTAATGTATCTAATAGCTAATTTGAAATGAAACAGAAGTTTGCTCACTCTAGTTTGGTGAATAGTGGTTTGAGCAGATGCCAGTACTCCTTGCCCAAAGCGGCAGTCACAGCTGGGAAGTTCCTCGCACAGTTCTCCATCATCCCATTCTCCTCAATGTAGATCATCTCCAAGAAGTGGCGGAACAGAGTCCGACTAATCACTGTCTGCAAAAGGAAACAATGATTGGCGGTTGATGTGCAAGTAGCATAAAATGTTCCAACCATTTTCTTATAATATCTACAATTTTTTTTCAAATTAGTGTCGTTTCTTTTTGTGCTTGGTGATGAAAGGATCTGAACGAAAGCCGAGAACTGAGGCATGTTAGACAATTATAGTAGAATAGACAAATTAAACAGTAGTTTTTGTCAAAAAAAACATGGCTAGAAAAACAAATGACAAAATAAATATAAATAAGGAACGACATTTGAAAAGTTTCAAGAATTTCTCCCAGTGCCGAGAAAAAATGGTTTAAAATTTTGAGCGAGTAAAGCGAGCGAGCAGGCTTAATATTATAAAAAGATAAGCCGGATAACTTTTATTTAATCCCCTGAAACTTTATTTTTAGGACCGTTTAAGAATAAAACTTAAAAATTAAATAAAAATGATTCATATATATATATATACATTTTTATAAAAATCATTTTAAATTTTTAAGTTTTTATTCACACAAAATTTTAAGCCAGGTTTTCTCAACACTGGGATAACTTTTTGAAAACTTTTTAATGTCGTTCTAAACATGACTGAAATAACTAATATAATATATCTTTCGAGCCAGCCTGATAATTATTTATGGTACCTGATTTCGTTCGTTTGCTTTTTCTCCAATGTTATTTGAAAAATAACCCTAGAATTACCTTAAAATTCTAGCTAAATTAGGTTTTGGAAAAACTTGACAAAAAGGGAGCAGGACTGTATCCATATCGGAACGCAACTACTGAATATATTATTTTCATTTACGATCTTAACGTACAATCAATGACGGAAATTAGCATCAGGATCAGGAAAAGCTAAAATGACCCATAGACAGAATAGCGTATCTACTAACCTGATTATCTACGACCTCATCAAAGTCCCAAGCCATTGCACAAGAAGAAGAACTCTTGTTACTCGAATTTATAGTGGAGCTGAACGTCTTAATCAACGATGGTCTATGGCTACCGACAACAGACATGCTTATGTCGAAAGACGTTGAGGCTTTGTCCGCGGGATTTGATATGTTGGCATCCTTGGCTTCACTTCTGCTACCTGACTGACCACTTTTGGCAGAGTGCAATGAGTCATCTGCTTTCTTAGTGCTGATTTCATCGAATGGTTTCACCTGCACAAAATAATTTCTGGTTCTTTTTAATTTTACGTAGGAGTAAAATGTAGGATTTCCAGCCAGAACTGAGCGTAAAAATCTCAAACTGTTTGCAACTGTTCGGAGCCTATTTCATTTTGCATTTTAACAAACTATCCATAGACTTGATTCACGAAAATACTACTAATTAAAAGCCTGCAATCATTTTTCTTTAACTTATTGGTCGTTTCGGCTTCAATGATGAGATATCAAGAACTCAGACGAATCTTCAGTTTACAAGAAATCAATATGAAGAAAACTTCGACTCGTTTGTTGTAAAATATTACGCAAATCAAGAAACGACGCAAATAAATAACCGGTACCAAGTTATCAGGAGTGAGGTCAGCTTCGTGAAATCCTTGGTCCTTATCATCTTCTGTCTCCATTCTATTCTCTTTATCTGCCTCTTGCTCTTCGCTTTTATCTGGTTGATTGTTTTCAAAAGAAACCTTCTTGTAAATAGACTCTTCAAACTGGTCCTTGTTCTCACTGTCTTCAAATTTCTCTTCCCCTGCATCTACACGAATGAATCACATCAATACAAAAAGAATCGAAAACAACCGACTTTGTATGCAAAATCTTTACAATTTTCTGGTGTTTATGTGCATTGCAATTTAGAGGCGACAAAATTGACCTTGAGCCAAATTAATTCTGTGAAATTGCGCATATTAGAGAAACCATCAATGATAAATGGTACCTATCTCATCATTGAGTACCTGAGACCCCTTCGACCTCAATTTTCTGGTCACTGTTCACGTCATCCTTCCCCTTTCCTTCTCCTTTGCCCTTTCCAATTTCCACTTCCTGTCCAGCATCTTCAGTGTCCCCCTCCCCATCTTCGTCCTCTGATCCGTCATCTTCTTCCTCGTCGCTCAGATCCTCCTCGTCCTCGTCTGCCACCAGAGGGGCTCGAGACACTCTCGCTCCTCCCTTCCACTGTCTCATCTTCTGCACCACTCCTGACATTCAACAAAAACACATTTACCGGAAAATTTAAAGCTTTTTTAATTTATCGCATAACCTTAAAATAGGGTTATTGTTCCGACCATTGAAAATGGGGAGGAACTTTGCATTCGGGTGTTTTAGTTTTTTCTTTTTGTTTTCCACGCACAATCAGCTACCACAAATAATCAATGGACTGGGTTGAGTGATATATCATGGTAAAGCCCTTTCAGTCGTGTTTTCCCAAAGTCGAGAAAAACCGGTTTGAAATTTTTGATTTTTCGTCTAATTTCGAGCGAGTGAGCAAGCTTACATTAGGTTATTTATGCTTAATTGAAGCCCTGAAAATTTAGTTTTACTCAAATGAAGTTAGTTTTTGAAGTTTTTAGCTTCATCCCAGTAATCAAAAATTTGGGGAAAAAATTTGAAAAATTAAAAAAAAATCGTTTTCTTGTTACTTGTCTTCAAAATTTTTTTTCCTATTTGCATATTTTACAAAAACTAAAAAATGCCTAAGCTCGACTTTTCCCTCAGATTCCTTTATCAAACCATGCCGACAAAACGACACAAAATTGAAAAGGATAATAATTTAGTTTGTAATTTTTTAAGACTGGTCGGAACATTCTGTGCTACTTGCACAGTAACCGGCCATCCTTGTATTAAATTTGAGTTTTATTTGAACGATTAGTTGCCTGCCTAACTGTCTTGCCTGACAAACTACTTAAGCTAACTTTTTAGATTTTACATCGATGAGTAAATTAGATGAGTAAATTAGAGAATACTTACCCAAAAACATAACCAACTGGGAGTTGGAAAAGAGTAACGAACGCAAGAAAACTGAAAAAAACCGACTTGTTTTTTTTCAAAAACCTTAAACTTTTGAATTTCGGAGAAAAAAATAGATGACTTTAAAACTCTGTCAATTTGTAAAACAATTTATGATGAACAGTTTTTTGTTAAAATTAACCCAATTTGATCAATACGTAAACTAGATCAATACGTAAATTTTTATTTCGCTGGGAAATCTGATAATTAATTTCTGTTTCCGAAATTGCATTCCTTTTAACGATGGAAATGCACTGATTTTCAAAGGAAATCACAAGTCAAACCGCGAAAAATCAAAATTGAGCGTGAACAAATTTAAGTTTTTCCTGAAAAAAAATCAGCAAGACCTATATAAGAGTCTTCACTACGTTCATTACTCTTGCTACATATACAACGCCAAAAGCAATATATTATGCGTGGAGGGAGATCCTAAAGAGCAGTATTGCTCATCGAGTACGATATCCTGGAGATTAAAGAGAAGACAGCCAGCATCAACTCAACAAACAAATTAACTTAAGGGCTGAAGTTAAAAAACAGTTTATAGAGGTCCTGATTGTCTTTTAGGTAAATTTGAAAAAAAAAACAGAAATTCTTGACACAAAATGAATATTCTCTTCGTCACATCATTAAAACATTTTTTTGTCACTCATATCTTGAATATTCCTTGGCTGACCTGTTCAACACTGTTCTACTAACGAAGTGGCTCTTTCGGACTGATTGATTTGTTCCCTGCTATCATAACTCTCACATCTGCTATAGTCACTGCCGATCTTTTTGTATGGAACTCGACTGTGGAGGAATCTCCAAGCTTGATTTCTGCAAACAAGCAGTTTCAAAATTTTCTGTAAAACAAATTAAATTTCAAAATTCATTCAACTCACTTTGATCACGTTCACTTCTTTTTGTTGAGCTGGAATCACTCAACTGAAACAGCGAAGTCAAATAAAACAGTATTCGATTTTATTTTAGATATTTCAACTTGGTAGTCTGAGCTGCACCTGATCTTCTTCGGGTCCTTTTTGAATCAAATTGTCATTTTGGTCCCATTGGGTAACCCTAGAGCGATGATTCAAAGAGCTGGATCTCGGTCGACGGCCACAAAACCCCTTTTTGGTTGCAAAGATCATAAGACCTATTAGTTCGTAAGCTGAGTTGCGCACTACTCGAGATGAGTCGGCCAAAAGCTCTTCAAAAAGTGGCAACAAAACTCCTTCCTGAAACAAAACACTCCTTATTAAAAAACAAAGCATCAATCGCTATGTCAAAACAGCCATCCGAGAGTTATGAAAGACTTTTTCTATTTTTCAACACAATTTTTGAAGGGCATATTAATAAATTTACCAATGTTGATTTAATTGCCAAAACTTTTATGGCGGCCAGTTATTTGAAAAAAAAAACAGACCATTACAATTAGTCATGGTTAATTTTTACGTTTTATTTCATTGGAATTGCTTTTTATGTCTTTTGTTATTGCAGGGCGTAGTTTGAGCGCCGTTTGCGAAAAGAATCCGGCGATTTCAAATGCCAATCTAAAAAAAGAGTGAGAACAAATCATATTCTAAAGGAAAAATTAATCAAAAAAGGGGACATAAATGTCCTTAACGTTCAGTAACAACAGACGCAAACTTGCACTTCTCAGACACATTTGAAAATCGAGATGCTTGAACCGTCTATGAAAAAAGATTGAAGCCTTTTTGTTCGAGTTTTCAATAACCTGAAGCAATTTTTACAGTTTTCAATATTAAGCAAGTGTAGTCGGTTGCTAAGCATCTATTATGCAAAATTCTATAAATGCATAATTTCAAAAATTGGACTTTGCCAAAAACCTTAAGTTTTTCTGCTTAAAATAAGTTAGAAATGTGAAAATTTTTAATATATTGGAATTATTCCAAGGACAATACACTTCTCTCATAAAAAGAATTTAGGAAACGCCGCTTCTTCGGGTAAAGTCTCACACCCGGTTCTTTCAATTGAATTTTTCATCTCAGATTTGATAAGGTAGTTTTTAAGGAAATTCAAAAAAATTTGGAAAACGGCCAGAAGTTCATAAACTTTACTTTCCGAAATCCCTACCTTTTCCTGCAAAATAGAAAATATTCTCAAAAGCTGGTTGCTTGATTGAACACTTAACTTAAAGTCAAAAAACTTCCAACAAACGGTCAAAGTTTGAAAGCTTTGACTTTTTTGAAGGCCAAAACTTTTTTGTAATAGAATTGGGCGTAACCAAACATAAGGTAAGCTTTCAACAATTTATTTGAAAGGTTAGTTTTCGAGGAAAGTCTAAAAGATTTAAAAAGCTGTCATATTTGACTTTTCCGATGGCCGTACTTTATTTTGAAAAAAAAATTGGGCATAGTCACTTATGCAGAGGAAAGTTCCAGAACCCATTCTGTTCATTAAAACCAAAACCTTAGGCTTAAGAGGTTAGTTTTTGAATAAACAATTTAAAAAAATGGGTCAAATATTCCCGCAACAAACTTTTTCCAAGGCTGTAGACAGATGGGTAAAGCAAAATTTTTCCAAAAGCATCTAAAAAAACCGATCCAATACATTTTCATTATACCTATTTTTATCCATCAGGAGTTCTACTAGGCTAACAAGCCAAGAAAGCATTTGAAATTTGAACTAGCAATGTAACAAAACTTACGAAGCGGAAACAAAGCCGACAAACTTTGAGCAGGCAACAATTGAGACCCTTTGACCAAAAATCCGTGATGTGGCACCCAAGCCGACAAGACTTAAGAGGACAAACGAAAGTCCGACCATTCAATTTCTTGCAAGAAAAAAACTTCAATTTCAAACATACTGAAAAAAGAAGGTCTTGTCGGGACTCGAACCCCAGACCTTAGGATGCAAAAGCGACCACGTTACCTCCAGGCCAAGTAGGAAGAACCAGTAAGATGTCAAGGTTCAACAATAAAGCAAGTTTAATTCCTTGTAAAAAAAAATTGTTTACGGGAAAGAATCTAGCTATCGATTACCTGACTGAATGATTTGCCCTGATTGAATAATCGCCTATATTATATGTTTTTATGGAGTTTGAACTAAGTATATACAAGGGGCACGAATAAAGCAAATACAACAAAACTTAAGTTTCTGATATAAAACATGCCGACTTGAGCGCAAAACTTGGGCATTTTTTGTGTGCAAGTTAGGGTTCAGAAAACGAACACGTATAATACGGCTACCCTCTACTCGTGCAGAAATGTTGATATTTCATTGAAAAAAATTAGTTTACTTAAGGTTCTAAACACAATTTTTTTTTTAATTTTCCGGCAATTTTCAATTTACTTGCCACTTTCGATTTCCTCATGAAAGAAGAATAACAGATTCTTTTCTGAAAAAATCCTCAAAACAAATCAAAGCATAAATCAGCTGAAACGATTTTTTAGTTTTTTGAAAACTAGAGGCTGGAAGTAATTGTTTGATATTTTTTGAATTTGTTATACTGACGCGGGATGCAATGGGTAAATTCAAAATGTTCAAAAACTGAATTCGACCACAACCTTAGCTGATCATCTAAAAAAACAAGTGAGAGTGAAATATTTTACGAAAATTGAAACATTCCCAAAGACAAAACATTTTTCTTACGAAAACTTCAAAAAGTCGCCACTTCTCCAGGAAAAATTGTCGCAGTCTGTTATTTCGAATGAGCCCTTCATCTCAATTTGATACGCTCGTTTTTAGGCTAGTTTTTAAGAAAAGTAACAAAATTCTAAAGAACGGTCAAAAGTGCAATAACTTGTGACTTTCCAAAAACCATTGCAACTTTTTAAATGGGCGTAGCCCCTTATGCGGTTAAGCTTTCAAACAGCTGTTGTCTGTTACATTTTCAAAATACCTGTTTTTATCAAACAAGAAAACAAGGTAAACATATCAAGCAAAATATTTGAATTTTAAATTAGCAACAGAACAAAACTTACGAAGTGGAAACAAAGCCGACAATCTTTGAGTAGACACCAGTTGAGCCGAAAAAAATGGTTTTACAAAAACGTACTAAGTTTCAAGTCCCCCTGAAACTACAATAAACAAAACTTGCAAATACCATGATACTTTCTTACAAGACAAGAAAAATCAGTGATGTGGCAACTCAGTCGACATAAATTGAGCAGATAAACGGATATCCGACAAATCATTTTTCACCGGAAAATTTTCGAAAGTATACATACTGAAAAAATAACAAGGTCCTGTCGGGATTCGAACCTCGATCTTGGAGTGCAAAGTCAACGGTTTCATCTCCACGCTAAGTTCAAAAGAACCTGGAAGTTCTTAGGATTCAATAATGAAGCAAGTTGAAAATTTCTAAGAAAAATTGTTTACGGGAAAACAGTCTTAGTTCCCTATTACAAGAAACTGGCTTTCGCAAGTGGCAAAGTCAACGGTTTCATCTCCACGCTAAGTTCAAAAGAACCTGGAAGTTATTAGGATTCAATAATAAAGCAAGTTGAAAATTTCTAAGAAAAATTGTTTACGGGAAAACAGTCTTAGTTCCCTATTACAAGAAACTGGCTTTCGCAAGTGTAAACACATAATTAATTCTTCTGAATATGCCAAAATTTCCGCTGTCTTCTTGGGTATGATGTTGTTAGTGATATTATTCTTCAACAGGATTTTGTATAATTTAAAAATATTTTGCCACATTATGTATAAACTATGCATTTCAAAAAGCTGCGAGATATATTGAAATTGAAAACTTCTGAAATCGAGATTTTATTATTGGTATGTTGTTTGAAACAACTAGCTTTTTTGGTTCATTTGATGAATTTAAAATACATCATCTGTGTTAACTTATTACTATTCGAATGCCAAAGCACCTGCTATCAAGAAGCCGTAAAGGTGCCACTACAAGTGGCACCAATATTTGCGATTGAGGTTAGAAAAAAAGGTCGAATTATTACAAAACGCACACTTACTTTGGCTAGTGTAAAAAATGGATTCCTCTGGGAAAACTGAAAACTTAAATCCATTTTCGAAACTAGCAGTCAATTACGTTTTTACACTTTTGCTGTTCGATCGTGGAGCTTGTCTTCCCATTAACAAATAAATGAGCTTTTTCGGAAACAAAAAATTTACAAAAAATCATCACAACCTATTTAAGAGTTTCCGTTCATTGACTCTTAAAATGTTGAGAAACAGTTACATGGGGAGTGTATTAAGCTATGATGCCAGTTAAATAAAACTAAAGTACCTGGTCGTCTTCTGGAGCGGACTTGGCTATTTCAACCAGAACTGGCGCCATTTGCATTCGAATTGAGGGCTCTTTGTCCTCTGATAAGGTAATGAGCAGATCCAGGAAGTCCTTCTTGAACTGCTCGTACGTCATCATCAGACAGAAATCTTTCAGTTTGGACGCATAGTAGGCACGCGATGGCTCATTTCTACAAAGAAAAATGAATTATTTTATGACCTAATGGAATTCAATAATTACTCTGTATTTTCATACGCCTATATAGAACCAGTTGTGATCTGGCTACTATAGTCGAAAAATCATCGCGATCAATAAGGTTTCTATCAGTGTGAATGAATTGAATATCCGTATATGGAGATCATGCAAGGAATGTCATTAAGGAATGCCAATGTTAGAACTTCGGGCTTTAAGCAGATCACAGAAGGTAAACATTGCAAAAACTAGCACAACTTCATTTGCCAAAAGTTCATCTTATGCGTCTTGATTCTAAATATAACTGATGAAACCTTCTAAACACTTGAGCAGACTTACTGATTAGTTTGTTCGCTCAAGTGCCTCTTGTACGATTCGATGAAATCCAAAGCTTGTTTTCTGTCGGGTTGAAGGTCAAACCACAAGTCAAGTCCTGAAAATAGTCCTCTTTATATGCAGCAATCAACCACGTAATCAGTGGTGGTAGCATAATAAACCGAACCTTCCTAGCATTTCTAAAGCTACCACAACCAAGAATTTCTGAAATTGAATTATAATTTGCTTTTTATATTCTGAACTTCGGACTAAGTCCCGCACTCGTTTTTTCTTGTTACTTATTTCAATTCAAAAGTGCAGTTGAAACGAAATTTCGCAATCTGATCTAAGAACAGGACGCAACTCTGAGAAGCTTCCAATTTTTTTTCTCGCTTGAAAAAAAAACTCGTGCACCCGATAGAATCAGCTGCAGCTTTTTCCAAAAGTAATAGATCAAAATTACATATTCTGGAACAGGCTAACCTTCAAATTTGAAGATAGGAGATGCGCGGTTTTCAACCATGTTGGCTGCCTGCTGAAACAACATCTGTTTCAGAGTATGTCCGTTGATTCGATCTCTTCTGCAAATTTCCAGTGAGATAGCCTTCGCCATTCTCCTTACATCGCTGTTAAAAATAAAGAAATAAAAACTGTTTCACATTAATTGATGGGACTGCAAAAAACAAGTATGACTGAGGGTTCCCGAAAACTACACAGGAAATTTGCTGCAAAAAAATCAAGATAAACTCAAACTCTCTTCCTTTGCAGTAAAAAAAAAACATTCGAGAAAAGTTCTCAGCTTACGGAAATATTAGAACAACAGTTTAATTAACGTAAACCATTTTTAGGTCTCTCCAAGATTGTAGTAGTCGCCTCGTTAAGGGGCATAGCTTTTGGTTGTTTAATAGTCAGTATATCGGTTAGAATGCACGAAAGCTTCATCCGGAATCGTTGCAGCGTTAGTACAGTACTTCTGCGTACAGAGGGTGGTTCACTTGGTTTTTGGTTATTTTCAGGGAAAGGTTGTTAATTGCGCCGACTTGTCCAAATCTTTGTAGCGCCTGTTTCGGCAAATCACCAAGCCGTCAAGCGGTGAGAAGGTAAGATTAATGTAATCGGTGTCTGATTAACGTCTTTTCTGTATCGGCTGAACACCTCGCAGAAGGACGGATTTTGGCTTCACAGCCGAAGCTATGAGCCAAAGCTGCGCCCACTGACAATCAAGAGCGGGTTCATCTGATGTGCTTGAGGGCCAGTCTCATCGGAGGAATTAAGTGAACAATTTGGACTGGATTGGAACAGTGTGAGAGAGTTGTGTTTTATGGAATAATTAAAAAGATGATTGGATTAGTGTGGGGGGTCGGAGCATTCTCGTCATTCAATGGAGACACTTCAGACAAGTCTGTTGAAGTAGGAGTTGAATGAGCGAGTACCGGAAGCAATCTTGGGCGAAGCAGGAACAGTCCTTTAAACTGAGTAAGAGCTCAGTTGGAGAGATTGGTGAGGTCTTCAATCAATGAGTACGCCACATTTATAATGTAGTTTTGATTAATTGTGTGGAGTATTTTGTGGATTTGGTTCATTTATCGATAATTACTCGTTGAAAACGACTATATGAGCTATTTGTGCCGCTGATTCATCATCGGGGATATTTTTCAGGTGCCATCTGGCATAGTTTTGCTGAAAGAATAGGTTTATATAACTTTCTAGGGAAGGATAAGGTATTCGATTATTAAGGTTTCGATTTTGAACCTTTCGGTATTTGTTCGCGAGGAAAACATCGCGAACAAATATTCATTTTAGTGCTAAAAAAAAGTCCGAAAATCGAAAATACCCAGATATCATTTTTCTTGTCACTGACTTTAATATCGATGAAAATACGACTGAAAGTGCTTCAGTAAAATTTAAAAGTGTAATTGCTTGAACTTATACGACGCGCCGTTGTGATATCAAATTTTCAAACTAAAATACTTCACATCCCGTAAACAGGCAAACAAAGGCACATAGAAGTCTATAAATTCAAGAAAACATAAAATGATCCTTGAAAAAATAAGTGAAGCTGCACTTGGCCTACGAAAAAAAAGCAACACGGCTTTTTAAACAAATATTTTTCCACTAAAATTTGCGACGAAATATGCCTTGTTTTGGGAAAAAAGGTCTTGCAATAAAGCGCAAACTATGCTTGAGTAATAAACAATTCTAACTTACTGAGAGCCATCTTTGATAAGATCAGTCAAGCATCGGTATATTACATTTTCTAGAATTGTCTTGTAGAAATAATCCCTCTGAGATAATCGGCTACAGTATTGGGCAACTGTTTTCAACTGGGAACACAACTCTATCCTTATTTTGGGCTCTGCGTCACATTTCAAAGTCTCGATTATTGCAACAGTTCTCGCTTCTCTTGTACGGTCGCCTCGATAGAACTTGAAAGCTTCTGCGCAGGTGAAAACTCCGTCGAGTCTTTCATTCACTTCAAAGTGGTATGCTTTTTCCACCAAGGATTCGAAGCTTTCCAACTTATTTCGTTGTGAAGATCCAATATAGCTCTCTCCAGCTCGGATATTTGGCGATATAACATTTTCAGGTTCTACAAAGGGACTTGAAATAGTTTTACGGCTCATTACCAGATTGATTTGAAACCCAACTTTCGAAAGATGACAAAAAATTATATTAGAGGCTGGTATACACGGTTAAAGTTTCCTTTATAAAAACTATACAAATTGACGCATTGACTGGAAAAGTCTTATGACATATATTGATGCACGGATTGTTGTAGATACTGCCGAAAAGACAATTAAGGCGAGCTCCAGATAATTAAGACTTCGAGAAGCAAAAAACTCGGTGCATTAAATAGATTAATCCAAAAGATTTTGAAGTGATAAGCTTAAATGCGTTTTTCTTGTGAATTTTACTAGTTTTATAATTTTTGCACATCAAAAACAGTAACTGTTATCACAGCTTGAGACCAAGTCAAAAGCACGGATACAGGCAAAGAGACCTCAAACCAAGTCATTTCAAACCTGATATCAAATTAAGAATTTTTCAATATTAGGTCAAAAATGACTTCGGATTAGATTCTATTACAATTTTAACAATCTTTTAGCTATTTTTATTTCCTCTGATCCTGACATTCTTTTAGCTACCCTCATTAAAAAAGTGACAGAAGGTTAGTAATGAAAAAAATAGTAGAAAAACTTTTAATATAGAAAAACTTTCGTCATAACAAATTTGTTTCTCACTATGTTCGGCACATTCTGTGCTACTTCCAGGGCAACCAACTATTCTTGCTTAGTTCTAAATTGACTACGCTCTGGTATTTGTTGATTTTGTGACCAAGAAGATGCGGAAAATCTCTGAACTCGGGTGTGTTTTTCGCCAACACAACCGAATTACCAGATGTCAAGTGAGGTTTCATATTGAATTCCATTCGTTCATGACTCGAGCTGCAAGGGAAACTCAATCAAACATTTACATGTTTCAAGGAAACTGCAATATCTGCTATTTGAGCTAATTTGTACGAAAAATCGATGAAATGAAACACTTGCAATGCTACACAAACATAAAAGATTGGAAAAAATTAAATGCATAAAAAACTAGGTGATTCAAAACTTTCGTATGTCTCGATTAAAAAAAAAACAACTAGGGACTCAGTTAAAGCTGGATGTGCGAGTTTGAAACTGAATGAAATTGCAATACTGATGCGGCACGAAAAATTTTATTACAAAAAAAATTGCCTAAAACCTTAGTTGTTTCTCTACTAAAAACACAGTCAACTGACAGTTGGAAAAAAGTGATGACCGCAAATAAACAGAAAAAAAAACTAACAGAAAAAATCTCACCTTTCGAATAAAAAAGAAAAAAAATGGATGCCCTTTAAGCTAGTTGAATTTCTAGAACAATTTATGACTGGCGCTTTTTTGATAGCATGAACCCATGTATAGAAAACTGGATCAATAGATAAAGTTTTTATTCCGCTGGAAATCTAAAAAAACAAACTCCACTTCCGAAGCTAATCGTTCACGTTTTTTCGCGCCATTTCCCGGTTCGTATTTCGAGAGTGCTATTACGTAACTTTCAGCAGCAGAATTTCAATTGAACTCAAAAAGTGCGTATATACTTTAGTGCATTCATAAATGCATTATTATGTATGAATGCACATCTGTAGTTATTAGGTCATTCTAAGTGCAAAAAAAAACAAAAAAATATCACATGAACTATATAAGAGTCTTCACTACGTTCATTACTGTGAATAAGTGAGAAGAGTAAAAAAATTGAGATAATCAATTTTCCCAAGGAGATAACATTTCTCTTACAACAACATTAGGAGTCGCGGTTTCAAAACTTTGACTTATTTCAAGATCATAACTTTTTTCTTAAACAAACTAGCCAAATTCGATTAATAACCCGTTGTTTCGATTCAACAAATAATAGTTAGCGAGAAAAATCCAAAAAACGGTCAACAAAACGAAAACTTGACATTTCCGAGAATCATAGGTTTCTGAGTGAAAAAAGTGAGTAGCCGCTTGTGCAGAACGGATTCACGCAACCTGTAATTTCGATGCAATCCAAAATGTCAGATTTAGAAAGGTAGTTCTCAAGAGAAATCAAAAATAAAAAAAAAACAGTAAAAAAATCAAAATTTGCAATTTACCGAGGGCCGTAACTTTCGGTGTCAGAAAAATTTGGGCGCAATTGCATCAACAATTTAGCTTCCCGCAACCCGTTATTTGAATTGAACCCAAAATTTCAGATACGGCAGGCGGGCAGGGTAGTTTTCGAGAATATTCAACAGGCTTAAAAACGGTTAAAAAATCAATTTTGATTTTTTGATAATCCGAGGGGCATAAATTTGTATTAAAAAAAATTTGGGCATAGCCGCTTATGCAAGCAGCTTTTCGAAACCACTTTATTCTTGGAAACAAAAAACTCAGATGAGAGGGGTACTTTTTTGAGAAAACAAAAAAAATCAAAAATACGGGTCACATATACCCCATCAGGCTTTTTGAAAGGAAATAATTTTCCACAACGAATAAAAACGAATTTTCAACAAACCGATTGGTACACATACAACCAAATTGAAAAGTGCGGAGAGTAACGTTAAAATTGTTTTTTTTTCCTTGAAACGACCCAAAATTAGGTCCTTAGGCCGATACAAAATCGGCCAAAATAATTTGGGCCGAGTAACTTTTCAGCGAAAATAAGAAATACTAAGAAAGGAAAATAAAAACTGTGGGATTAAATCAAACAATGAAAACAACATTACAGAAAAATGCGCGCAGCAAGAAAAAACGTTTCCAAGATGTGACAACTAAGCAGACAAATAATTGGCCGACAATTTTATTTGAAACAGAGTATTTCCCGTTTGAAAAAAACAGGCCCTGGTCAGATTCGAACCCAGGACCTTTGACGAGCCAGGCATATGCGTTACCTCCAGGCTAAGTTGGCCAGGACCGCATAGAAGTTTGAATTTACTATGAACCAAGGTACAAGTGATTCTGTTAAACAAGTTATTAACCAGAAAAAAGTCTAAATTCCAGTTTGATAACGCTTGCTAATCAAAAGAAAATATTTATGAAGCCACCTTGAGACACGGAAGCGTAGCGGAGCTTCGAACTACTACCGACAAAAAAATTCCAATGAATCGACAAATCAAAAATAACTAGAGTGTAACCTGTACCTCCGGTGCTTCAAGATTGTGAACTTGACTATTGCTTATATATAAAATATACATTAGAAAAAACAGGGAAATTGTAAGAATAGACGGAGGAATCCATCTACATTTTCTATTTCATTCAGGAAATAGTATCACGGTAAGAATAGACGGAGGAATCCAACTACATTTTCAATTTCATTCAGGAAAATTCAACTTAAGGGTTATTTTTTTGAACTACTGAGTTTCAGATCATCGTATTTTCAACTCAGAAATCTCTAAAATGACTGACAAACTACAAATGCACTTTCCATATTTCAAAAAAAACCTTCTGAAAGATTTCGTAAGTGAAATCGCTAATGAGATTTTTGTTTTAACTTAGTTATTGCTTTTTATAAGCACCTACGTATATCACTTACTGCCATCAATCATTTCATCCAGTGTAAGTAATTGAACAACAGCAGACTATTATTTTGGAGATTTTCTTAATTTATTAAAAAATCACAAGTTAAAAAGTCGTCATATCTCGAAAATAAAAATTTTTTTTGAGCAGTCTTATTGATATGATAATTACAAAACGCCTGAAAACCATCATAGCACGACAACACAGGATTGAATTTAAACCATGCGGAACCTTTTATAACACCTCAAATTTTGAAGATGAGAATTTGAGCATTCATATTAAAAGGCCGCATGCGGAAGTAACTTCGCATCAACTTGATAAAAGGTCAACAATTTCAAATGATGCTAATTGTTTCTAATCTAATTTTTTAAAAACTTTTATTTATCATAAAAAAAACGTCATATCCCATGGACTTAAAGGATTTGAGCAATCATATTTGAATGGAAGCAATATCTGCAACTGTTGGGAATACCATGACATCATCCTATTAAAGGATCGAAAATTTCACAAACGTCAAATCTTGGAAAGTTTTTCTAAAACTTTTAAATCATACAAAAAATATCATATCTCGAAAACTGAAAAGATACGAGCAGTCATAATTGAAAGCAAGAATTGGAACCCTGATACTTTGAAAGCAGCCAACTAGAGGGTTGCAATTTTAGAATTTTTTGATTGTCTTACTTTTATCTCGTAAGCTAAAATAATTTTGGTATTCAATTTTGGAAGATGAACTCAACGGCCCTGGAAAAACTCTAAATGACACCCTACCATAAGGGTTGCCTATTTGAAATTTAGTGGAACAAACACTGAGACGAAAAATTTGAAGGTTTGCGTTGCAAATATAGGAAACATGTTGAAATAACATTCCCACTCCATCATATTTGAAAACGTACTTCCTTCCATGCTGGCACTTCCTTCCATGCTGGCACTTCCTTCCATGCTGGCTTTACATTCGGGCTTCACAATTGGCTTTAACTCATATACAGGAAAAAGGTGTTTGTGCCAGTCGGTCATATCTGGAAGTTTGACCTTGAGGGACACGAAAATACGTGATTTCGGAGTGAAGTTTTTATTTTCAAAATTTCGAATGGAGCCTGTCATGCTCAGTTTTCTCGCAACAACTGAAAACACAAAAAGTAAAGAATCAGAACGACCGATTTACAATCGCGGGAAAGTGCTTGAATAAAACAGCTGGAAATTGATATTCGCAATTTCCCGATAAAAACTAAGACACGAGTAGAGCTGTCTTATCCCGAAATAGGAGGGGAGATAATAAAAAGAAGAGAGAAAAACTATTTGGAACAAACCAGAGTGAACCTTCAATGGAAAGGTAGACAGCTTGAGTGTCCCAATGGTTCATACAAAAACTCAAATTCTAGAGTCAGAATTTACTTCTGTTATCAAAACTGATCAGTATTAAACTTATCTAGTTATATTATCTAATTCTTGAGTTGCTTATCAATCTAATTACTCCTTGTACTCGAGTGCATCAACAAGTGAGTCCCTAATTTAATTTTCTCGAGTGTGTTTTATGATTGTTATGTTGAGATAAGGAGAGTTTTAGGTTGATCCATCTGAAATGGATCAAAGTTCCACTGTCCAATAAAAAGTAACTTAACGGATTGTTCTGACCCTGTTTTTAACGGCGTTCGTGTATTTTGGGTATTTTGAGACCTAAGTATGGGAACGTTCTTATTTTCTAGAGTGGGGGGATATTTTGGTAGTCGCCTTTAAGCTGTAACGGGTTCTAGTCTCATGTCGCAAGCGAACCGAATTGGCTCCGACCGTTCTTGAGATAGAAAAACACAAGAGATAGTGTCCCTGACTCTTGAGCCAATGATTATAGGGCCTATTTTTCTTAAGCCTCATATGTGACCGAAGTAGGCGACTGTTACATAGTGTTTTTATGGCGCTCCTGGGTATTTTTACGACATCATGACTACGGAGTCGAACCCACTTGACACAGCTCCGGGCTGCATGCCCATTCTAGAGTACCGGTGGTACGGTTCAGTGGGAACGTGTAAACCTTACGGTTTTACCGTGATAGCTTTTTAAGAAAACTTGAGAAAACTTCCTGGTACGCTCTCCGAACGAGGCCTAGCTAACCGAGTAAAGGGGGGTAACTAGGGAAACAAAAACAAGAAAAAAGTATAGAAAAAGGAACAAAAACCATAAAACGAAAAGACAGTGACTTTGATACCGGATCATTTGGATCAAACCTTTATATTAATTAAATAGTATACCCATATTGTTTTATAAGACCGATCGTTTCGATCAATCTAGCAATTTAAACCAGTGACTTCAATAAGGTGCCCGAGTGGGGGGCGTTGTTAAGGGTTTTCAGATAGATTGCAACCGAGCCGGACCACTAGGAGACTTGACTGGAAAAGGTGACCAGTCGAGTGGGAAAGTGGTTCACAAGGATCGGACTGGACCACTAGGAGACTTGACTGGAAGAGGTGACCAGCCGAGTGGGTAAGTGGTTCAGAAGTACCGAGCTGAACCCACTGGAAACTTGACTGGAAGAGGTGACCAGCCAAGTGGGAAAGTGCTGCTGCTGTCAAGTGCAGAACAGAGACAACCAGCACAGGATCACTACAAGAGGACGCACAGGGGTGTTCTCAAGTTGGGCAGCGGGTATCGTTAGAATCCACATTACGTTATAGGAGATAAGTGTAAAATTGGATAAGCGGAGCCCCATTGTTTTGAGGAAGTTTTTGCACAAGCAGGCCTGGAAACAGGTCTACGGTTTTCTCTCGAGAGGTTTAGCACCCGGCGCTTAAGGGATTTTTCGGCTTAAGAGGGGGGCTAAAGAGGGGGGAGGTTAGCAGGGGGGGTGGTTAAGTTAGAGGTTAGCGGTTGTAAATTGTAAAAAGGGGGGACACGTTAGAGTAACTAATTGTTCGGCATTGTCGATTTAGTTACATTAGATATTCACATGCGTTGGTTATAAGAAGCGGATATCCAAAATTAAAACCAGGTTAAGGTAGGTACCCTGGTCGGATCGGTAGGGGGGAACGGACATAGACAGTTTTTGTGATACCCCATAAGATCGCTAGCAGGGGGGAGGAAAACGCGTGGCAATCGAGTACCAGACATTTTTTCGGACAAAGATTGACATTGGTCAACCTTGAATTTCAGGAGAGTTCATCCATCTGTTTTTGAAATTTTTCCAGTTTAAATTTTTACGTTTTGGTGAAAATTTGTTGTTGGTATTTTAACGAATAGGTGATCACAAGATACCTGCGGGGAATTTAGGGTTTCAAATACAGGGGGATCAGTATTTGGGTTTTGACCAGTAAGATAGGGATTTTGGGAAAATTTTTACTAAAGCTCAAGTGGTGGTAAAAGGAACAGTGGTTCAACAGTCCCTACAACGAAGAAGAAGAGACCCGACATCCAGACACTCGAGTCTTGGGACAGTACCGAAGAAGTCTTGGGATATTGCAGTCTGGGGAAAGTCTTGGAGCAACACGGTCTTGGGACAGTCTTGGGACAGAGCAGTCTTGGGACAGTCTTGGGACAGTGCAGCCTTGGGACAGTCTTGGACCAGAGCAGTCTTGGTACGAAACAGTCTTGGGATAGTGTTTTTGGGACATTGCTCTTGGGACAGTGGTCTTGGGACATTGGTCTTGGGATATTAGTCTTGGGACATTGGTCTTGGGACATTGGTCTTGGGACAGTGGTCTTGGGACATTGGTCTTGGGGCGTTGGTCTTGGGACATTGGTCTTGGGACATTGGTCTTGGGACAGTGGTCTTGGGATCTTGGTCTTGGGCCATTGGTCTTGGGACAGTGGTCTTGGGACATTGGTCTTGGGACAGTGGTCTTAGGACATTGGTCTTGGGCCATTGGTCTTGGGACAGTGGTCATGGGACATTAGTCTTGGGACATTGGTCTGGGGACATTTGTCTTGGGACACTAACAAGAAGTACTGGGACAACACTGAATAGTCTTGAGACTTGAGACGGTAGAGAGAAAGTCTTGGAACAGCATAAAGAAGGGGGGTACTAAAAGAGTACTAAGTCAGGGTGAAGTAACCAATTGTAAAATCAAATTCTCTATCCAATCCTAACATATAGAATTTTCAAGAGCTTTGGATAAGTTGTTTTTAACAAATTGTCAATTTCTTTTTATAAAATTTTGTCAAAAGTGGTTTTAACCTTAGAGTAGAAATTTGTAGATAGTAATACTGTAAATAGGAACAATTGTAAATAATGAGGCGGAGCAGGGTACCGGTAGCCGAAAAAAGATCTACCGAGGCGAGAACAAAGTATAATTCGTCGCTACGTAAAACAACATCAATGGGTCCGAAGGTAACAAAGAAGAACTTTTCAGTTAGTATGGTCAACACGAGGAGTACTACGGAGAACAGAGCAAAGGAGGGCACGGAAGGGTAACGAGTAGAACCCACCATCGAGATTGATCTAGAGACACCGGATCAAAGTGTGGATGAAGTGGGAAAGAAAACGACAGAGTCAACTCCGATGCCCAATGCGGAAGAACCTAATCCGAAGCCCATGGAGTTCTCACCGATAGACAACGTGGAAGACACAACAGGCAACACGCCAGAAACGGTGAAGGATGAGTCTCAGAAGAGAACGTCTTTTACTGAAAGATTAGTGATGATGGTCGGAATGAGATCGAAGGACGCAGCAGTGGAGGAGACGAAAACCGAGAAAGGCAAAACATTCGGAACAGTTTCCACGAGAACGACAGACACCGACCAAAACGAAGACCAGTTCAGACCGGGAACAGCAACCAACAACAGGACAACAACTGACCATGGAACAGCTACTCTTGAGCTAGGTGATTTGATGGCGAAGCTAGATCAGATGGATGAGAAACTGAAAAACAGCGAAGTCGATAGAAATTTGATAAGGAAGGAAATGAGAAACAACAAACATGAGTACCTGGACAACTATTTCCATCTAGCAAGAGCAACGGAGGAAAAGCTTCAGCAGATGTCCGACAAAGTAGAAACCACTGATGGAGAGCGAGACAAGAACATCAGAAAGGACATGCTATAAATGAAGCAGCGATATGACGCAGTGAATAGCCAGTTGGGAAGTTTGGAAACGAGAATGGATACGATGAGTAGGGACCAGGCTGAGAGCTCAAGTGCTATACGGACAAAGTTAGACGCAATCTTGAGGAATTCAACACCACAAGACAGGCCAGCGGCAGAGCGGACACAGGGTAATAGAGTTGACTTCGTGGAACCACAAAGGAACAAGCGACAGTCAACACCGTTACCAGCAACCCGGGAGGCCGCGATTACGGCACCGGTGGGGGCCAGGGCTATTATAAAAAATGGAACAGCGAACACAACTAGTGGTCCAGGAGACTCCACGAGTCAGAACAACGTGGGACCGGATGCGATGACATGGGCAAGCACCTGGGAATTGATGAACAGGACACTAGAGGCCTTCGCTACAAGGAACACCGATTCGAGCGACAGAGGAAGCAACAAGTCCAGAAAAACTTTCAAGAAACCAAAAGAATTCAAAGACGATTCAGATGGATGCATTGACACTTGGGTAGAAGTCATGAGGTTGCACTTGGAACAAGACAACTTGAACGATGAGAAACAGGCATGCACGGCAATACTGAGCAATCTGGAAGGCACAGCATTGAAATGCGTGGTTGCGAAGAAAGAAGAGGAGCGCGATACAGCGGACAAAATCTTTGAAATATTGTTAAATCGATTCGGCTCAGGCATGAAGGGTCATCAAGCGATGATGCGATTTGAAAAGAGAAGACAAAGAGACGATGAATCGATAGACAGGTTTCTAGATGATCTTGAGAGCTTGAGAAGAAGGAGTGACCCGGAAGAATCTACCAATCGAAGGAACTTCAGCATCGCCTCAAAGTTCATTGATGGGGTAAAGAGTGATGACTTGAGAACGATGTTAGCAACATACTATACATTGTCGAAAGACAGTGCACCAACTCCAGAAGAGATGAGGCAGAAGTCAAGAGAGTACATGCTGAGAAACCCAAGAAATACTCGTA